TGCAGCTGGGACTCTCCAACCTCTAGGAAGGGAACGGGCACTGAAATAAGGGGTTATGGGTTATGACCACGATCTGCAGAAGAGCATCTCTGAGCCTTGAAGCAGGCGGGCTACAGCAGCAGGAGACCACGTCAGTGTCACTGCTGTCAGTGAGAACAGGAACCTGAGGCTACAGCTCACACAGACTCGCACAACTGGACAACACAAGGTGGGAAAGCGCTTCCTGGTCTGAGGAGCCTCGGATGGCCTGTTTCAGCGTTCAGGCTGCTGCTGATTGGAGCTTCTTCTGAAGCTCGAATTAAACATGACGGTGAGTTCACTGCACTCAGATGGCCTCCGCAGCCACAGATCTCAGTCCTGCAGAGCCGTTTGGGATGTGGGGGAACGGGAGAGTTGCATCAAGGATGCACCAGCTGTGTCATGATGTCGTGATGATATCATGTCAACAGGGACCAAAATCTGTGAGGAACATCTGAGCCATGAAGAATGAAACCAGCTCTGAGCTTCACCCTGACACTAGCAAGGTGTACCTAATAAAGTGACCAGCGTATTACTGTAGGGTCTGTACTTTACAATAAGCACCTTGAGACAGCAGTTAATGCTAAGTAAATCAAACTGAAGTGAGATTGGAGCGCTGCAGTACTCTCATGCCACTTAGACCCCACAGTGTACGATAAACTCAGTGTTTGTTTGACGCTGTGGGCGTCAGGCCCAAAATCTCTGCTGGAAAATAAACCAAAGCACACGGAGTGCTGAGGGTCATTTACCAGAAATAACACAAATGATATGCACTCATGAAGTTATGACAAATATTTGTAAATAGAGCTGATAAACTTTCACAATAACTGCAGCAGCCGGTCCCGCAGTCAGCGTGTTAGTCTCTCCCTCACAGTGAATGCTGCCCATCAACCCATCAGGAGCTGAGTTCATTGTTTACGATGGGACCGCTGGATAACAGCTGCATGTTTATTTGAATGTGCAGGTGAGACTGCAGGAGATACTGTTCTCTGCTGTTCTCAGAGGACGACACGCTCACTGAAGGGAAAGCAAACGCAGGCAGTGCAGCAGCAGCAGAGGTTTGCACGCTGCTGGTAAAAACAGATTTCCAGATGAGACACGGTGAACACTTCAGCTGAGTGGAAATATCCCACAAAAGTCTCTCTGCAGGCTCGTGTCAGGGTGAGCAGTGAGATTATTTTAGGACAGTAAGAGGAGCGTGTTGTGTGCTGCAGAACATTCAGTGCTGGCTGACAAACTTTAAAATGCATTCAGATTGCTGATGAACGATTTGGACGCGGTTCAGAAAGAGTCGAGTTCAACGAGCCAAAGACACCAGGACGGCGACCCTCGCCGATCCTCTCGCCTGCTGCTGCTGCGTCTGTGCCTCTGAGCTGTCCACAGCATGTGTGGTGTTTACGATTGTGTAACTCTGTGTGAGCTCATCGCGCTCGTGTTTTTGGACGCAGCACGGCCGGGCCTCCTCTGCGTGAACTGCAGTAACCTTTCAGCAGCACGAACAACAGCAGCTTTTCTTTTTCTGCACAGAGCTTAACAAAAGCCTCCTCTCAGCGGACGAGTCAAAGCCGCATTGAGCCAGAACACTCAGAGAAGCCGCCGCCCCTCTGAGCCCACTGCAGGCGGCGCCGACGACCTGCAGGCAGAGACGTGTCGACTCGTCTCATTTGCCTCTTCTCACTTTTGGATCTTTCTTACATTTGGAGCACAGCAAACCAACCCCACGCCTCACACCAGTACTGGGCCCACAGTGGGCTCTGCTCCCTCATCCAGAGCTGATTTTTCCTGACATTCCCCCCGGCGTTCATGCCTCCTCCCACACCGTAAGCAGGGATCTTTGCTTCAGTGAGACAAGTCATCACTAATCAGAATGAAAAAAACCAAAATGTTCACACCAAACAGGTTATTCTGATTCAGAAAATGGAATCTGGCCTGAAGACATGCCCTTCCTCCCTTCCTTCCTTTTCTCCTTTCATGGAGGTGTTGGATCAGTCCTTCCTCTGCCTCACACCTGATATTGTAATAAGACCTGTTCTGTGTTTCATCATCTCCACAGCAGACATGCTTCCCTTTTATTGCCTGATTATAAACCATGTGCCAGCAAACATGCCTGTGCAGGCCCACAGACGGCAACCCACACCGATCCCACAGAGGACCCAGGTGGGTGTGCCCACACTGCCCCACGGCAGCTTTGCTCCTCTGGGTCCTTATTCATGTTTTCTGTGGGAAAGCCCTGCATGGGCATGTTTTCCAGGTGACTGGCCCACAGCAGGTGTGGAAACAGGAACAGTGACAAACTCAGGCAGATTTTTGTGTTTCTGGATCGTAACCACAGAAAATCACATTGTGAAATCTGTGAA